GTTGACGTCGGCCGAAGGCGCATATTGAGTGGAGACTGGGAAGTAGGCAGGGGAAGTCGACCTGTGGGGGAGTGGCTGAAAACGGCGGTCCCGAATCTGAGACAGTGCCGGGCTGAGCTTTTTCGACCTTTTCCACTTTTTGACGGAAGCAAATCCGGGTACCCACTATCGCAAGCCACACTTTGCCAAGCCTGTGGCTGGAGCTTCACCTTGACCGCCTAAATTTTTCAAATTTCTGCCGCATCCCACCTTGCCCAGGCGGCCCAGGATCGTCGGTGCACTTTCGTCGCCTCCAGAGGACGGATGTCCAGCTTTTTTTTTTTTTTTTAATTCGCGGAAAGAGTCTCTTGTTTGCACAACCTCAACACCAAACAATCATGTCTTCTATGCGCAACGCCGTCCAGCGTCGCTCCCACAGGGAGCGCGCTCAGCCTTTGGAGCGCCAACGATTCGGCCTCCTTGAAAAGCACAAGGTTCGTCCAGGACGCTCTGCAGCAGCTAGTCGTCGAGATAGGTTACTGATTTGCTCATTTTTTGCCTACAGGATTACTCCCTCCGTGCCAAGGACTACAATAAGAAGAAGGCCACGATCAAATCCCTGCGCGAAAAGGCCGCCGACCGAAACGAAGATGAATTCTACTTTGGCATGCTCAGCCGCAACTCTATGGGTTCGCGCCTCAAGGACGGCAGGAAGTGGTCCGGTACCGTCGCCGGCGACCGCGGCAACAAGGCCATGGACATGGACACGGTGCGGCTGCTCAAGACGCAAGACGTCGGCTACATACGCACCATGCGCAACGTCATCTCAAAAGAGGTGAGGCGTCTGGAGGAGCAGATTGTCCTGATCGGCGGCATCGATGCGGCGAACCACAACGGCGGTGACGACGACGACGACCTGGATTCCGACAGCGACGCCGAAGAAAGTGTCAGGAAACCCGCCGGACCTAGAAAGATTGTCTTCCTGGACGCTGCGGAGGCGGAGGTCAAGGCAAAGTCCGCCGAGAAGGGAGCGATGGATCTAGACGACGAAGAAGGAGACGACGACGAGTTCGAAGGGTTCGACGACGCCAAGGGTGACGGCGAAGGCGACGAAGATGCCACGGAAAGCAGGGAAAAACAAGTGGCGCGGTTACGGCTGCAACTACAAAACGCCAAGAAGAAGCTCAAAGTCTTGACCAAGGCAGAGCAGGGTCTCGAGATACAGCGGGCCAAGATGGCAAAGAGCGCGACCTCGGGCGGCACGACGAGAAAGGGCAAGAAGATTATGGTCCGGGCCCGCAAGAGGTGAAAGGATGGTTCCAAATTCAGCATCTGTCAAAAGAATGGTCGGCGAACACAAAAGCATGGTTGAAATTGGTGTTATTGGTTATTTTTTTATCGTGTCTTCATTTCAAATCCTAACATTCTGAGCGGCGACTATGGGGAAGGATGGACCCCCCATATGCTTTGCTCAGAAAAAGTCGTCATGCGATACCCAAGGACCGCCCCGGAGTATAGATCTACATGTACAAAGAAGGAATATCATCGCTCCCTATCCTATTCCTGGATAGGGTCTCATAAGGAAAATCCCCATTATTCCATCAACCCCTTAAAACCGTGAGAGACGAACCAGTACGAGAACAATGCATCAACTCAAAAGTGGTATCTCATTTCCTTCCTTATCATTCCCGTATTCATCATTTTTTTTGTTCTTTTGCCTCGGGTTCACTTGGACTTGACGCCGACACACCTAGCAAGACCCTTGACAATGGCAGCAAGGGCTTTGAAACCAATCGTCAGCAGCCAGACGAGACACTTGAACAGCCCAGCCACGACCTTGAATAGCGCTCTTAAAGGCCAAGGCAGCCTGTCGCGCGTCTCCTTGCCAACCTGCTCCAGCTTCGCAAAGCTGCTGTCCTGGCTCTCCACGTCAATCTCAAATTCCTCCATCTTACCCCTGCGCGCGGCCGCCGCGGCCCTCTTCTTCTCTTCCCTCTTGCTCAACCGGCTGTCGCGGCCGCTACCAACGGGATCGTGCGGCGCCGGGGGCGGCTCAAAGGTCTCAACTTTGGTATTCTTCTCGTCCGCCGCCGCGACGAGCATGAGCGCCGCGACGGCGACGTCGACGATGAAGAAGCTGTCAATCTTTGCGGCGATGGCCGTGTCGACCTCGAGGTACCCGCCGCCGGTACCGTCGCGCGTCAGCTTGGCGAGGTGCTGCGGCGACTCGTGGTGCTCGAGCGTGTACTCGACCCGGCTCCAGGCGGGAGAGCGCTCAATGGTGACGCAAAAGGGGGTTGCGAGGGCTGGGTGGACGAGGAAGTGCGACCCGGAGTCCTGATCCCAGACGAGGCGGGCGCACTCCGTCTCGGCCGTCATGATGGCGTTCATGTCGTCCGGCTTGTCGAGGGCCATCTTGGCGGCTGCGAGCGGGTAGAGGAGGGCGACAAGGCCGTCGTTGGGCGGGTGCTTGCGGGATTCCTCTTCCAGGGTAGTGGTGAGGACCTCCTGCCAGTGTTTGCTCTCGGCGCCCTTGCCGTTGTTGCTGTCCTTGTGGCCGACGACGCCGGAGAGGATGCTGCTCGCTGACGAGCTTGCCATGGCGTTCGGGGCCTTGTAGACCTTGGCCGGGTCGTGGCGGCTCAGGGTGACGTAGGCTGATGCGGACGTGGGATCGAGCCGGATGTTGTAGAATGGCTGTGATGTCGAGGAGAGCGTGTATACAGGTGCGTCCTTCTCCTGGGACATCTTCATGCAGTACACCCTGCCTTCTGAAGGGGGTGCTTTCCAGCCGTTGGAGACCTTCCATAGGCTCTTCATGTGCTCATTCGAAGAGACATTAGGGATGATGGGAGGCTCGATCTGTCTTCTTGGCCATCTTTGCGCTGAGCCTCCGCTCAGGGGGCTCCTCATGGGAGGACTCCTGTGCTGGTCGTTTTGACCTTCAGCTTCCTGGGGGTTCGGATACCATGTTGTCCGATTAATCACGGCCCGCGGGATATGAGTTGGGCTTGTTTGCGTGGGGAAGTAATCTTGTTGGTTGAGAGGCCTTTCCGGGTTATACTGAGGGAAGATGGATCGCAAAGCAGGTTGCTCTTGTGAAGACGACGACGGCTCCTCTGGGAATGGAAGCTTTGCTATCGAGCTTCTGGACCGCGTGCTGTTGTTCCGCACAAGCGTATGTGCTTGTGAGAAGGCGGTCTCTGATCGGGGCGGGATATCAGCAGCGGGAGGGGGCCGTTGGATGGGCGATGCCTCCGTAGCTGATGCCGGGGGGAGGGCCGGCAACTCGCGACTACGCGGCGATGGCTGTTGCTGCCGCTGCTGTTGTTCACCCGATGGGGCCTGGCGAAGGCTTTGTGGAGTTTGCGATCGCTCAACCGGTGTTTGCACTCTCTGTTGCGGCGTCTGTCCGCCGTGACGTGGTGGAGACGCCTGATCGACATGATTAACGCTCTCGGGGGACACAGCCCGGGGCCGCTCACGCGATTCTGACCTTCGAGTTCGAGATGCCGGCCTCCGTATCGTTGGGGGCTTGGAGTTGGGGTTCGGGAAGAGTGAGTACCCTCCAGAGGGTAGCTGTGTCGACGACGACATGCTGGGCTGTGCTAGGGGAGAGCTATCTCGAATCGAATGTTGTTGGTTTTTCCCCCGGTGTATCTATGATATTCAAATATGGTCACGAAGTATGGGTAGGGGGGAAATGGCCTGGAAGGAATGAAGAACAGGTAGTCCAGCTGCTACCGATGCATGATATCCGACTCAGTGGTACCAAACAAACAACAAACAAGACTTCGTTTATTGTTGCAGTAATAGGTAGTCAACACAGATGAAAGGAAGAGAAAAGCCGTGTAAACATACGACTGCCAACGATACCAAGAGAGTGTATATACGAATTACCCTACCTTACCCTCCTCTCCCCCTTTGAAACAGCGGCACTACTGCGCGTGGTACAGGGCGGCAGGTCGCCCACGGGAAGGCCTGGGTAAGCGCTGGCTTCTCGACAGACGGGCCGCGATGAGTGGGTGAACTGAGAAGCCAAAGAAAGGATGGAGGGGCGGCCGAAGGGGGGAAGGATGGTGGTCGAGATGGGTAGACGGAAATAGATTGTGAAAAGTTGCGGGCTGGGCCAATCAGCCCGACCATCACACTGCATTCTAGGCGCCGAGACCAGGGTGGTGAGAGACAGGCGCGCGGGGTTGGTTCGACGGGAGACTCGGTGCCATTGGCCAAGCTCCCCAAATTGGGCGGTGATTCTATTGATCTTTTGAACTCTGACCGCCCTTGGTGTATCCTTTTGGTCTTGGGGTTCCTGAGGATTTGCGAGAATGCCGTGCAAGGTCCTCGGGCATCGAAGCGAGAACGTAACGCGGGAGACCACCCTGTCCTGGCCGGGGGGGGGGGGCCGTTGGAGGCACCTTGCATCCGCCGATCGTGTGGAAAGGACTCGAAGGGCATGTCCACATTCCACATGGCTTTCGGCGCGGGGGGGGGGGGGGATTATCGAGCCATCTCTGTTTCGACAAAGGTCAACTTTTCGGTCAAGGAAGTCATAGGTCTGCCCGTGAGACAACTTATAGGTTTCGGCCTTGCGTCTTGTAGAGTAATGAGTCGTTAAATGCGCAAAACCGTTTTCAACAACGGCAGAGGCGTTTAAAGGCACTTGTGTCCGGCGCCTAGCTCGAGGGTTGCCTTGAAGCACAACTGGGTAGGGGAGAAGGTGAAGGCGATCGGGCAAAAGACCGGCCGTGATCGGCTGGCTGGTAAGAGTTTTCTTCGGCCTCTTGAGCGGAGTCTCCGGGCTCGGGCGATCTTTCTGGGGCCGGGCGTCGCCGATACTGTCTCCGATGGTCGGCGCCTTCTACTTTATTGATGGTGGAGCCGGCGCCTCAGCAGCTCGATTTCGCTCCGTAGAGAGTGATTAATTTTGATGAAAATATTCACAACTTCTGTCATCGACTATCTTGACACCATCGACGTATGCTTTACTTCCAAGATTTGACAGTCACATTATTCGCAAGATGGCACACATTGTAGTGATCGGGTAAATACATAAGCAACCCTCGTCTTGCTGAGTTGGCCGCTAACACCAGACAGAGCCGGCGTAATCGGATTGAGCACCGCCGTGAGACTCCAGCAGGATGGTTACAAAGTAGCAATTGTGGCCAAGGAGTTTCCGAGTCCGTTTGAGACCGTTGACAGCAAAGCTTCAATCAATTACACCTCACAATGGGGTGGCGCTCACAACCGCTGGGTCATACCGGCCAACGAGATGGAACAGCGCGATCATGTCATGGCTCTTAGAACATTTCAGCACATGGATTCACTGGTGAAGAGCAATCCTGAAGCTGGCATCACCTTCATGCCCGGCATTGAATATCTCGAGGACCCTCCGGCCCAGTATCAAGCTCTCACGGAGGAAACGGCCAAGAGCTTGGGATTGGTGGATTTCCGGCTCCTGAATAAGAGGGAATTCCCGGACGATAAGGTGAGGTGGGGATGCGAGTACAAGACATGGTGTGTGAACCCCATGATCTACTGCTCGTTCCTCCTTCGCAAGTTCTCATGGAGTGGCGGTCAAGTCCTCCGCAGGGAACTCAGTGATGCTCGCGAGGCCTTCTCGATCAAAGAGTTGCCAAACGTGCGACATGTAGTCAACTGCTCTGGTTTTGGATTTGGTGACCCAAACTCATTCATCACGAGAGGCATGTCCGATGCCCTCACCCAACTTGCTTTGATGACATTGCTGATGAGGTACTTCAGGTCAAACGTGTGCTGTAGCCAACTTCAGCCCGGCAACAGTGACGAGACAGAATGCCGATGGATCCTGGACATTTTGCGTGCCTCGAAACTTCGACGGCGGCACTATCGTTGGTGGCACAAAAGAACCCGATAATTGGGACACTGAACCGTCAGTGGAAGTACGGGAAAAGCTTCTCAAAACTTTTGCTGCCACGTATCCCAAGATCCTCGGGGACAATGGCGAGTATCGCGTCCTCAAAGATGTCGTGGGGCGGCGGCCGACACGGAAAGGCGGCTTGAGACTGGAGAGAGAGGAAGTGGACGAGAAACACACCATAATTCATGCATATGGACTTGGTGGTAGGGGGTTCGAGATGTCCTGGGGTGTAGCTGAGGGTGTACTCGAATTATTGGGAGACTTGGGAATCATCCCGCGACTTTAGCAATATACATGCCATGCTAGAGAAACGGTGTAAAGATATAAAATTTAAAGTCTTAATCAAGAGACACTGACCAACGTTGTCTAAACATTAAACCCGTATGCATGGTCATCAACCAGCGTGGAAAGCACGGAGGGAAGAAGGTCAAGCGATATCGGCAAGGTCGTCTGATTGGCCCATTGATGACTTGACTGAAAGCGAGAGAACGTTGGAGACGTTGCAGCTTCGGCCGGTACCTGCATGGCGTCACCCGCCGCTGCGTGAGTGGTGGAAGTCCTGGCTGGGCAGAATGCCGCAAAAGAGGAAGAGAAAAAAAAACAGTGAAAAATTCTCAGCTGTTGGAGGCAGAGATTCTATTCGCCTGAATGGCCGAAAAGGAAAAGAAGAAGTTGGGTTCACCTCACTGGCAACTGCCATCCCATGTCCCCTGCCTGTAATTAACGTGCCTTCCTAGCAGGTACCCCGCGCTCCGATAAGCGGTGAAATAACAAGTCCCCTACGGATACAGGCATGCACGCAAGACAGAAGAGTCACACACAAGGTGGGATGTTTTGGAGTCATTGCCCCACACCCAACTTTCATCATCTTCAACCTTCCCGCCTCGAACTTTCGTAGCTTCCTCTCCAACAACAGCAGTCAATTGTATTCGCACGCATCTCAATCGAAGTCGCAAACATGGCCCACACGATCCTTCACCTCAGATCCGAGACCAAGGTATGTAACGATTGTGGTAGCTTACATTGGCGTGGGTGATTCAGAGACAGCTAACCTTTGACGTCAGCCCTTGGAACACAGGAGCGCACTCACACCTACCACCACTCGTAAGCTAGTCGATGCCGGTTACGAAGTCAGAGTCGAAAGGAGCCCCGTACGTTTTCACCGATCTCATAATCACTGTTCGTGAGAAACGAAACATTGACTCGACATTCCCCAGGTTCGCATCTTTGACGATGCCGAGTTCGAAACCGCTGGCGCGACTCTTGTGCCCGAATACTCCTGGGAGTCAGCCCCGGCGGACGTGATCATCGTCGGTCTTAAGGAGCTTGAGGAGAAGGAGTTCCCTCTCAAGCACGTTCACGTCACCTTCCTCCACGTCTACAAGGTACATTAGCCTCAATTGAGCCAAACACCGCCAGAGAGCTTGCTGACCAAGGTACAGAACCAAGGTGGTTGGGAGAAGACTCTCGGCCGTTTCCCTCGTGGTGGTGGTACTCTTCTCGACCTAGAGTTCTTGGCCAACGAGTCCGGCCGTAGAGTTGCAGCTTTCGGTTTCCACGCTGGTTTCTCCGGCGCTGCCCTTGCTCTCGAGAACTGGGCTTGGCAGCTGACCCACCCCGGCGAGCCCTTCCCCGCTGTTGAGGCGTACCCCAATGAGGATGCTCTCATCGTGGATGTCAAGAAGGCCTTGGAAGAGGGAATCGCCAAGGCTGGACGCAAGCCTAGAGTCATCGTCATCGGTGCTCTTGGACGTTGCGGCTCCGGTGCCGTTGAGATGGCTAAGAAAGCTGGCGTTGAGGACATCGTCCGCTGGGTGAGTCAAGACCAAGTCTTGATATCGCAACACACACACTGATATGGGACTTTAGGATATGGAAGAGACCAAGAACCCCGGTCCTTACAAGGAGATCACGGATGCCGACATTTTCGTCAACTGCATCTACCTCAGGTACGTTTCTCTGGGAGAGCTTTAGCCCACGAGCTTTAACTAACAAAATTGCTCACCATAGCCAACCTATTCCTCGTATGTTTCTCCCTTGTACCCGGCATTACGCATCGGCTGGCAAACTCGCTTGAGCGAGAGCAACATTATCAACTTCCCAAGAGTTGATCAAGTTGAAGATACAGGGTGCCAATTCGTGAATCACCAAGCTGACCATGTTCATCTAGCTTTCCTCAACCGCGAGTCTCTGCAGGCCCCTGGCAGAAACCTCAGCGTGATTTGCGATGTTTCTGCTGACACCACCAACCCCCACAACCCTAGTAGGTCACCTCGCTTTGGTCCTTTTCACTAGCCAATGCTGACTGTGCGTTCACTTGTAGTCCCCGTCTACACCGTGGCCACCACCTTTGACAAGCCCACTGTCCCCGTCGAGGGACTGGAGAACCCGCCCCTGAGCGTCATCTCCATCGATCACCTTCCGTCTTTGTTGCCGAGGGAGTCTGTAAGTTTGAAACTTTGAAGAAAAGCATCATGCACAAGTTAGCTGACCCCAATGACAGAGCGAGGCCTTCAGCAACGACCTGCTGCCCACCCTCCTGAATCTCAAGGACTGGCGCAACGATTCCGTCTGGGCCCGCGCCGAGAAGCTCTTCCAGGACAAGGTCGCCCTGCTCCCCGCCGAGCTCCAGAAGAGAGAGGCCTAGTGGACCCCTATTCGGTCGTACCTTTGTTTCTAGAATGGAATTTGGCGTTTTCAGGGGTGGAGGATCTTATGAAGAAAATGGGCATATCCAAGCCGAAAGAGCGGTCAAGATGGATTGCCAAATAGATCGAAAAGCTTAGATCATGAGTGGACAGACTTGAGAATTGATTCACACAACCGGAGCTGGAAACTTGAGCAGCCATTGACAGGCCAGGATAGTATCTGTGACAATGGCCGCCATCTCTAGGCTTCGACCCCCCTTTTTGGATTGATATAGTCTACATGGTGTGAAATGTTGTGTTGGTGTGTATTTGTACAAGCCGAATGGCCACGCCATAGAGCAGGGTGTCCCAAACCGTAAATCCAGAACGCCCATCAAATGCATCTGACCTTCCCCCTTTTCCCTTCTCGATGCGGGAAATTTCTTTCAAGGTCATCAATAGACCCCATCCCCGTATTCCCAAATACTTGAGTATTCATCACCGCCTCTCCTCCGCCGCCGCAACACTCTTCCGATCTCTCGCCGCATACCCGCCCACGCGCTCGCCCAGCCTCATCTTCTCCTCCTCCTTCCTCCTCGTCTCGGCGTCCTTTTCGGGCAGACCCCACCACTCCCTGATAAAGTCCTCCTGCTGCGCCTTCTTGACGGCTTTACGCTCGCGCTCCTTTTGCCGCTCCATGCGCTTGGCGAACCACTCCTCGCGCGCGGCGTCGTGCTCCTGCGGCGTGGCGTGGGCCTTCATGCAGCCGTTCATTGCGCGGAGCTGGGTGCGGCAGACAAAGGAGACGGTGAAGGTGCGGTTTAGGGCGCAGTCTGCAAAGGCTGTTGTTCGAGGAAAGAGAGAGAGTTGTTAGTCATCTTGAATCCCGACTGTTTTTCCAAGGAAGCTATTTTGAGAGGTGGAGGATTTGTAAGGGAGAATGCTGGGCTTCGGAAGGGCTGGGAATGGGAGAGACAGAGATAGATAGATATGTGTATAGAGAAAGACGGCCAACGAACCCTTGATCTCGGGTGCGCAGGCGTTTCGCACGCGCGCGTGGTAAATGTCTCTGATCTGCGCCTCCTGGGAGGCCGAGAGGGGGAGCGGGTTGCGCGAGGGCATCGGCAGGCCCGCGGGGGCGCCGCCGGTCGGGTTCTGAGCCGCCATCGCGGCCATCAATCGGCGGAGGGAGGGGAGAAAAAGAGTATGGGAAGCGTGAGGGTACGCTACGTTCGTTCGTTCGGTCGGTTGACGGGGGAAGGGTTGAAGTGGACGGACGCCGGCGTTTTCGGAGGGTCGGCTTCGGGGGGTGGGTGGACGTCTTTTCGTGAGAACGATCGGTTTTTGTTGCTGCGGACCGTCAAACGAGACTGCGCCTTGGAAAAATCAGAGTCAAAGTCTCCGTACAAGGACAATTTTGTGTCCTGTATGTTTCGTTCAAATGTCCGTCGGCAGACCAGAGGCAGCGGGTGGTTCGATCTGGGTGGGTAAATCTACAGCTACCCGTTCGTTCCTCTCGCGAAAATGTGACCCGTGCTTTCGGACGGAGCTTGCCAATTGAGACTTTCTGCCGCCGACCGTCGAGTTCACCGCTTACCTTACTTAATGCTAATATCAGGGACCAAGCAGCAGACATCGAGGAAACTGAGACGAATGACAGCAACTGTCGCAAATACATGAAGATTCCCGAGAAGTAGTCCGCATCACTTTACAGGCCTTTAGAGACAGTAGATCAAATGTCTAGTCATTTTCACTCAATGGTCTGAACTAGTGATGATATTGCTTTTGGAACGCCTGATCTTTAGTTTTTAATGATTTTCGCTATACAATACATCGCTTTGGCCATCTGACCCCGACAAATCAGCTGGATTTACTCGTCTTTCTTGTCTTCTTCCACCTCGCCCTCAGGGGTAGCCTGGTGAAACTCAAGGCTTTCTCGGTTATCCTTGCCTTTCTTCTTCATGGAAAACTTGCTGCTCCAGCCAGAAATCCTGCTTTCCTTGGCGTCTCTGGATTTAGCCGGGCCTGCAGACGGGCTGCTGGTGACGCTTTCGTAGCTTCGACCGAATGAACCCTCCTCGCCAAAGTCGTCAATATCACCAAAGCTGGATCGATCCGCAGACAAATTCTTGTCAGAGTTCGTAGTGCTCCCAGGCCCTTTCTTAAAGAGTCCCGAGTCCTTGCTTAGACGAGACGAAAGACTGAACTTGCTCGAACTGCCTTTCCTGAAGAGCTTCCTATAAGCGTTCTCCTGATCCTTGGCATTGGAGTCGGAAAGTGTATTGGACACTGCCCTATCAAGCGTCAAGGATTCCCGAGATTCAGTGACGGACGCCTGTGTGTGGACAGAGAATGCATCGCGGGACTTTCTAGACTCCGTCGGAGACGCATCGTAGCCTTGCGGGAGGTCTAGACTAGGCGTGGAAACATCCCTAGTCTTGCCTTTCTCTTTTGCGTCCTTGTCTTTGGCTTTGTCCTTGCCCTTGTCCTTAGACTTTGGCTTATCCTTCTCTTTGCCCGAGTCACTTTCTTTATCCTTACTGCGGAATAGTCCCCCAATTGAGAAGGTTGGCGCAGCTGGGTTCAAGCTTTTGTTCAACAAGGATTTGTTGTCCGAGTTCTGTTTGCTGGCTGGTGGTCTGCTGCCAATGACGCCAACCTGGCTCGGCGAGACTTGAGGATCGTTCAAGGCTTCGTGATCCAGAATTTCGTCCTCGGCCGACGCCAGTGTCGTTTTGAGAGCCGCCGGTGAGCCGTGGAGAGATGGCCGCCTGGATGGAGTCCGCGACGCCCAACGCCCATCAGCTGGTGACCAAAATCGGTTTCCTCGATCAGCTGGATGGTTCCAAATGGATCCGCTGTCGGTGGAAGGTCGTGGCAAGTCAGCCGAGGCCATGGAAGCAGGTCTAGGGCTGCTTGGATCTCGGTCCGCGTACGAATTCCATGGTATCAACCTGCGAGCCGACGAAAACATGCTGCGTCCCAGGTTGGCCGCGCTCGCCGCCTCAAGAGTGTCAGGTCCAGCCGAGTTCCGGTTTTGCGTATAGGACGAGAAGCTAGTTCGGCGTCGATTCGTTCCATCAAGGTCATCCGTCTGCCTAGGAAAGGACTGACTCTGACCGTGCTTTAGGCTGCCCAACATGGGGCCACCGTCATCGGCAGCTTTGGAGCCTTTAGTTCTATGCCAATGGATCAGATCTGTGAAACGGTGTCCATTTGCAGCTGGCGATGGCTGTCCCCCGGGAGAGGATGTCATGTCTTTGAGGGACGCGGGATCGCCATTGTCAGGGGCGAAAGGTGGGAAAGAGGTGACATGCGAAGATCCTGGGGGGCTAGAAGGAACACTATTCGAACGTCTGGACGATCCTGGCGACTGAGCGTCATCTTCGTAGCCCGGAATGAAGGGGCTTCTGCGAGAGAGAGAATCAGGGCTGCTAGGTTCGTCGTCACCCAAGATGCCAGAAGGTAGGAGGGCGGCCGCCGTAGGACTAAGCGGCGCGCTCCCCGTGAGAGCCCGAATATCAGCCTCAGAGAATTGGTCGCTCCCAAAGGCCTCGCCCCCGGGCATGTCCAAGAAATGTGAAAACGGGGCTCGACTGGTAAACCCGATCGGAGGGTCGAAGGGAGAGTCCGAGGCTGAGAAAGGACCTGTGGGCGATGCGACGGTATTGGGAAGAGCATTGCCTGTGCGGCTTCGATGCTTAATTTGTGCCGAGGCGTTGGGGTCGAATTCGACGCCCGAAGAATTCGCCTGATTGTAGAACTGCATGCTCTGTTGGTTCTGGGCGTAGACTTGGGCGTGCAGGACGTGGATGTGACCCTCAAGCTGCTGAGCCTTCCTATTCTCCATGATGAGTTGACTCTGGAGTTCCCTGCGCTTCATCTCGAAATCTCTCTTCAGTTTTCGGTCGTCTTCTCGCCAAGTGTCGTCCTCTTCACCACCAGGTAGCTTCCTGCGTGCATCCTCGAGCTCCTTGAGTTGTTCCTTCTTTTCCTTGTATTCGGTCTCGAGCTGAGAATACTCATCTTGCAAGGCAGAGTTCTCCTCGTCTAGGTGCTTGATCTTGAGATCACGGCTCTGTGCGAGACCTTCCTTTTCCGCTGCAAATCCTTCGCGAGTTTTGCGCATGGTTTTGGTTTCAGCGACACATTTGTCAATGTTATCCATCGCCTTCTTGCGCTTATCTTGCTTCTCCTTCAGCAGGTTCTCCTTCCGGGCCTTCTCTTTCGTGGCCTGTCTCATCTGTTCGCCGGTGGACTTGACTTTTTGCCTCAACTGCGCAGTGTTGTCGTCCTTCTCTTTTTGAATCTTCTTTTTCTCCTCCTTTTCCTTCTTCAATTTCTCCTCGAGATGTCTGTGCTCGCTCTCTTCGGATGCATGTAAGGATGCCGTCTCCACAAACTCCTTCCTCGACCGCTCCAAGGTATCGGCTAGTTCCTTGAGCGATGCCTCAGGGTGGTCGCTAGAAAAGTCCTTGATTGACGGCTGCTCCTGACTTGCTATGGACGGAGAGTGCCTGCGGTTGACAGTGTTGCGTCTCTGCCCGGAAGGACCGTCTCGCGCAGCGGCGGATCCGCCTTCAAGAGACGGCGCCGCTTCGATGGTTGGGACCTGGCTACGACTGCCATTGTCTTCAACGCACGGAGTTTGTCCTGGTCGCGGATCTTGATCTTGGAAACTGTCGGGAAGTCTCGAATTGCCCAGCTCTGGCCGTCCGTCGGATCGATAGGTACGTAATCTAATAACTTGGCTACCGGCTTGGAAGTTGTTCGGTCCAACAGCAATGACTCGTATGTTATAGCAATGGTTGGGCCTCAGACCCGTAACAGTAATGGCTGTCTCTTCCTGCCTCGATTCGCCAACTGTGAAAATATGTCAGTTTCGTCTTCCACGGCCACCGAACGAGTCGAACAAAGACCAACCATTTACGCCATTGACCTGAATCAGGAATTTCTGGACAGGTCGGTTGTGTGTTGGTCGCGTCCAGTTGAGAGTCGCCGCGTCGGGTCGAATTCCGGCTAAGGATACATCGGGGGCCTCGGGAACGTCCACTCCAAGAATGCTGATGAGATCGGTCGTCGGTTTCCAGAGAGTCTGCCAGGCACGGTGTAGCAGCCTAGACAAGGTCAGAAAAAGGTCGTCAGAAGGATCGCACGTGTCGGAAAAAGTGGCAGCGAACAGCAGGACGAGGCGGAGAGGGGAAGAGGCGCGTGGGTGAAACTGACCAAATGACTGCGGCGAGAGTCACCAGCATACTGGCATGCCGCACAAGCAACTCATCCAGACTCCAATAACGAATACCCTCACGGGTGTAATGTACGGACCAAGCGAGACAAAGTTGTGCGTAAATGGGAGCGATAACCCAGAAGGTTGCGAGACTGGCGGCTGCCAGGACGAACTTTTGGAAGCGGCTATTCGGTCGCTTGAGCCACCAGGCGATGAGGGAGCTTACGAGGAGGAATTTCATGAACAGGGTCCATAACATCGCCGCTGGCAAAGGGGAAAGAAAAGAAAGTAGAAGATGCGGAAGAGTGGGAGAAAAGCGAAGGAGGAGACCTTTCGCTAGTCCTCTCTGGCGCGGTCGGTTGGGAGGAAGGATATGTCGGGCAAGAAGGGAATAAGAAGGAGGGATGAAAATCTCGGCAGTTGTGTTCTGAGCGACGGCGATGTTGACGAGCCCAGACACACGTAGTAGCACCAGTATTGCAGACTCAGGCGCTGCTGCTGCTGTTCGGTTCACCGTAGCACTGTCCACCAGTCCCCTGTACCGTGTGTCGCCGCTAGCGGCTGATACTGTGTGGATGGGGTCCAAGTCAATGGGGGGGTTGCCTGACACGCAGCCCAGGCGGCATGGCAGCGGCCAGCTAGGGGGAAGCTGGTACTGTTCGACGTTGGCGCTGGGGGAGATGGAGGGGCGGTAAGGCAAGTAGTGCCGGCCGCCTCGAAAAGATCGGGATAGGAGGAGGGGCATTGCCGCATTGCATTGGATGCCGGCAGGGGTGCAAAAGGGAGGCACGAGAGTCTTTTCCCCGTGAGGAGGATGACGGCAGCAGACAGAGAGAGAGAGAGAGAGAGAGAATGAGTGTGCTCTATTATGTGTGTACGGTGTACTTAAGTGATGTGCATTGTCAGTCAGTGTGTCTGGCGCGGAGAGAAAGAGAGAGAGAGACGGGAGGGGAAAGACGGAAAAGATTCATTTTCACCAAGAGTGAAGGATGTCGTTGATTTATATCTCTACTTCATGACATGTTTTATTTCTATTTATGGTTTTAAGACTCGTGGCATTTGAACGGAAATCAAAGGTTAATGGCCCATATCTCGCAAGGTGTTTGTTCGTCCTTCCTCTAAAGTATGGGGAAGCTGCCTCACTTGCATCCCTCCATGCGTGCAACGTGCCTTTGGGCACTGCAAGAAGCCCGATGGCCATATAGCAGGCTTCGGTGTTGTCGTCTCATTCAACACTGACGATGAGGATCCGTGGCATGTAGATGCGAATGATATGTTTGTGGTGCTGATAGCGTTGCAAGAAAGACAATCTCCACCACCTGCCGTTGCGAGTGCCTCAAGGTACCTTACCTTGAGCCTCAGGTCTTGATCTTCAACCTGAGGCGCCATACCATGTGCAAGGCACGGCGCCTCATCCCGATTCCCGAGGACGCCTTCTTCATTTCCTACCTGCTTCAACCACGTCAAAGTTCCTACTCGTTTAGTTGTCGTAACTCGATAATCTTATTATCTAGTTCCTCTAGTCGACTGTTCACCTCATGAAGGTGCTACCTAGACTGCGACTTTTCTGGTTTTCGGTTCCTGGTGCTCCTCACTAATGAATTAGATTCACTAGGATCCAATGATAAACGCCACGTCGCACAGCCCCGATTCCCACACCCAACATAGCGCACGTTGTCAAGTTTCTTACGTGAGCTGAGGACTCAGCTTCATCATCATCAACCCGAAAAGCTTCTGTTCGTATCCGAGATCCCTCCTACGCCACTAAGCCTACCTACCTCTCCCGCAGGATGCTGGTCCTGAAGACGCCTCCGGGGCCATGTGCTGATGTGGCTGGTTGTTGAGTGTCCCCTGCAAACGAGTTGGAGTGAGGGGCAGCCAGACGAAAGCGACCTATCATGCACTGAAGACGTCTCGCGGCCTTGGAATGAGGGGGGTTCCATCCCACCAAGTCTGAAAGCAACCCGACTTGTCCAATCCATCGTACCGGGCAATTGGCGGGTACCTTGTCATCCCAGCAAGCAGCTCCCACTCCAGCACTATATTTGGACCACTGAGGGGTCCTCGGCGGGGACTACAAGTAAGGTGAGCTATCCTCCTGGCGACCTTACTTGTTTACTTCCACTCCGCCTTTTGCTTCTCCTATTTATTTCTACTTTGAAATTGTCGTGTTTATCAAGTCAGCCAGTTTCCTGATTTTCTACAGCTCCAATTGCCGTGCTCGAAAGCCTTTCTACCGCTTTATCCGCTTGGCCCATCATGGAAGCCATCAAGTCCGCTCTTAACATTGGCTCCAACAAGCCTGCCGCCACCGAGCCCTCTGCCGAGCAGCTTGCTCAGCTGAAGGAGAAGTACGCGAGCGCTGGACAAGATCACGTCTTCACCTTCTACGATGACCTTTCTACCTCCGAGAAGGCAACACTCTTCGAGCAGCTGTCTGGCTTCGACCCCGAGCACATCAACAAGATCACCGACCGCGCTCTGAACCCTCCCAAGACCGAGGATGCATCCACACAGTCCGGCCTCGAGCCCCTGCCCGAGTCTGCCACCGCCAGTATCCTTGACTCCAAGACCGATGACATTGAGAAGTGGTACCAGTCGGGTCTCGAACTGATCGGACAGAACAAGGTGGCCGTTGTGCTCATGGCAGGCGGTCAGGGCACCAGACTGGGCAGCTCAGCACCCAAGGGCTGCTACGATATCGGCCTTCCCAGCCAAAAGTCGCTCTTCCAGATCCAGGCAGAGCGTATTCGCAAGGTTCAGGAGCTTGCAGCCAAGAAGGCCGGTACCAGCAGCGCGGTCGTGCCGTGGTACGTCATGACCTCCGGCCCCACTCGCGGCCCCACGGAGAAGTACTTCCAGGAGAACAACTACTTTGGCCTGGATAAGGCCAACGTCTTCATCTTTGAGCAGGGTGTGTTGCCTTGCATCTCAAACGAGGGCAAGATTCTGCTCGAGTCCAAGGGCAAGGTTGCCGTTGCTCCTGATGGCAACGGAGGTATCTACCAGGCGCTGGTTGTGTCAGACGTCATGGGCGACATGCGCAAGAGAGGCATTGAGCACATTCACGCCTACTGCGTCGATAACTGCCTTGTCAAGGTTGCCGACCCTGTCTTCATTGGTTTCTCGGCGTCCAAGGATGTCGACATCACCACCAAGGTGGTGCGTAAGCGCAATGCCACCGAGTCTGTCGGTTTGATCCTACTCAAGAACGGCAAGCCCGACGTCGTCGAGTACTCCGAGATTGACACGGAGACCGCCGAAGCACAGGACGCTAAGCAGCCCGGAGTCCTCAAGTTCCGTGCTGCCAACATTGTCAACCACTACTACTCTTTCCGCTTCCTCGAGAGCATTCCCCAGTGGGCGCACAAGCTGCCCCACCACATTGCGCGCAAGAAGATCCCCTATGCCGACCTCAAGTCCGGTGAGACCGTCAAGCCCGAGAAGCCCAACGGTATCAAGCTGGAGCAATTCGTCTTTGACGTCTTCCCCATGCTGGATCTTAGCAAGTTCGCCTCCATGGAGGTGAAGCGCGAGGACGAGTTCTCGCCGCTTAAGAATGCCCGCGGCACGGGAGAGGATGACCCCGACACCAGCAAGCGTGACATTATGCTTCAGGGCAAGCGTTGGCTCGAGACCGCCGGTGCCGTGGTCACCGGTGCGAGCCAGGAGGATGGAGTCGAAGTCTCCCCTCTTTTCAGCTACGTAAGTCGTTCTTTTTCTTTACACGATGTAGACGCGGATGCTAATCATAATTTTTTAACAGGGCGGCGAGGGACTGGAGAAACTCAGTGGCAAGGAAGTCAAGGCCCCCGCCGTGTTGGAGATTGAGTGAATATGTAAAGCGTAATGACATAGGATGATTGGCGTTTACGACCGAACTGCGGGGGTTTTGACAAACTATCCGGGGGCTTATGGGCCAAAGGGCTGCACAATAAGTCGTGCTGCTTCGAAATTCCGGAGCATATATAAAAGTATTGATTCATTGCTAAACTGAGATTGGAAATGAGTGAAGAATGCTGTCGTGCCCTGACAACTGGTTGCTTGTTTGGCAGACTCATGCCATCCAAGTGCTCCGTATGATAGCTAGCTCTGTTCCCGTGGCATAGATGCTTGATTTCCATTCGAGATCTGGTTCTAATTATGTCGGGAATTCCCAAACAGTACCTTTGGTTAAATGGGGTCTCCATGGCAGCCAACCGAGAGAAATGCAGATGGGAGGCGTGGAACAAATGCAGGGCGGAAGGTTAGGTACACTTGCCTTGCGCCGTTGCCAAGCATTCCAGAACCAGATCTTAGGGGCATCTAAATTCCTTAGGTTAGATTCACCGCAAGGTTTGGGCAAGGTAGGTATGCCTGACTTGCAAACTGCACACTGTGTCTGGGTCCAGAGACAGCCCAGGACATTGGCCGCGTGGGAAGAAATTGTCTAAATCGGGATTGGATGAACGCACACACACCCAAAACATGGGAGGGAGGGCCTTGACTGAGGCTTTCCTCTCTGATACGTACTTTCCATACGGATACCCGAGAAACCTCTCCTGTTTTCTGTTTTTACGGAGAACGGATTATAGCGAAAAGAGGAACAGACAAAGGGGAAGAGGGAAAACACCTAGGGAAGCATGGGTTGTGATTCATGCGCCCACATCACTTTTTGCACAGGTGACCTCGGCTCTTTGGCGGGTGCCACCATGTAGACCTGGGGGAGAAATCCATCTGGGATGGTAACGAACGGAGAAAAGTGGCCGGGTGATGAAGATATGACGGAGGAGAATCGGTCAGAGAAGTTTGGAGGATGGAGGGGTAATTTTTTGGGTTATGACATCAGCAGGCAAATAGAGAAATCTGACTGCACTGTTTTCCCTCTTTTTTTTTCGTTTTTTCTTTCTTTCATTTGATGAGGGGGGAGGAGAAAGAGCGACGAACTCTGTCTCCAGAAGGAAAGGAACCAGCAAACGAGAGAAGAAAAAAAGTGTCACGGGTACTTTTAGTTACACCGCCGAGTCAGGCGGGTGGCCCGGTTTAGGGGAGTGGGAGTGTGGAGTGTCGTAGTCACTGTGTACAAAGTACGAGGGTTGCTCGCTGACGGCTGTGTAAGTAATGTGTGTTTCCGTAAGGTATCCATAGGCAGATAATTCGAAAAGGATAGGTTGGTGCTGAGGATGTCGATGTTGTATGTTTCGGCCCTCATATTTACCTTCGGAGGAAGAAGTTGAGATAGGAACGAATAAGCACGGACATGTGGAGGAATGACATCTGAGCAAAAATATTTGAACTTTTTCTTGCGCCTAATACATTGAACGTGGACTTGCAGAAATGGATCCTTCTACTACGGATACCTATTAGTAGGTAATTACCTAGGCATACCACTTGAGTGAGTAGGAAAGGGCCTCGGCTTAGCTCATGTAAGTCAAGCCCACTGAGCCCTGTTTCCTCGTGCCACGGAATGCCAGACTCGCCAGGCCAGCTCATCGTCCTCGCCCGGTTCTCCTAATGCCGGCAATGGCGGCCATGTTAGCGTCCATGGTCCCTCTTTTGAACCTGAGCCTGGTAAGATGCGGACCATGCCAGCGAGATTGTGAGTGCGCCGCGGTAGTCCTGAGGGCCGACCAGGGGTTGTTTTTCCATTGGGGTGGGTTGGCCGTGGCGCTGCCCCCCAAACGGTGAAAGTGGTCCGGGGGTTGTCCTTTGGTGGTTGAAATCTTTTTTTTGTCCCCTCTGGTCATGGCGATGATAGGTGGTCTCCCCTTTTGCTGGGCAGATGCAATGTCCACCTTCACATGATCCGCGGCAGCCCAGCGTTAGGTAAGGCGGGCGAAAAAGAAAAAAAAAGAAAAAAAAAAGGCAGCCTTGGCCTGCCGTAGCTTGTTGGGCCCAGCGACCAACAAGCAGGGGTTGCCGCCCCTGTCCGCGCCAGGTGCTGTTTCCCCCCCTCCCGTATGAAGTACCTGACCCTCACACTCCCGTCCAGGTCGCTCCTCAGGATCGCCCGCGAGCGCCGCCTGCCGCCGCCTTTCCTTTTAGCTCCCCCGGCCTGTGCTACTACCTTACCTCACTGCTGCAGGTGCTGCCGTTCTACGAATAGTCATCCCTCCCCAAAAGGATTCAGCTTCGTCATCTTTGCACCATCCCATCCTCTCCGAACTGCTGAGCGCGGGCACATACGAAGTACATATGTACTGAGGAAAGGTTACTTGATTTCATCCTCTTTCTCTCTCTCCCAAGCCCTTCCTGTCCTTCTCCCCTTCGCCCCCGACCCCGCGAACCCCCAAACTTTAATCGTGATTCACTGTACCTATTCTCTTCGACTTCAACAGGCGTCCTTTCTATCTATCCGTGAGACTCTCAGCTCGACCCATCCCTCACGAACAAACGAACGACCATTCTTCACCCCCTTCCGCTCCCTTGCTCTGCGCGCGCACATCTCTCGAACTCAGTCAGCCTCCATCGACTCACTCACACATCACTGTCGCTCTCTTTCTCTCGCCCCTCCCACTTCCCTTCCCACCCTCGTCCCCTGCATCCCAATAATAACCATCCACGAGCTTCCCCAACAATTACGCTTTCGCCTCCGCACACCTCGCGGCACAGCTCAACCCAGCTACCCAACTACCGGCCTTGCCTTCGGTTCGAAAGACTAGAACACCTCGTCCTGGAAAGTCACCTGCTGTGGTTTGTGTCCCTACATCCTGGCTCGCCTGCTTTCAAGATACCGACCCTCCAACCTGTCGCGAACAGCGACGCAACTCCTCAGTCACAATGCAGTACGTACGGAATCTCAGCGCCTCCGTCTCCTCAACATGGAATTCCATAAATCCGGCAACACTCAGTGGCGCCATCGATGTCATCGTCATTGAGCGGGAAGACGGCTCTCTCAACTGTTCACCCTTTCACGTGCGCTTTGGAAAGTTCTCTTTGTTGAGGCCTTACGAGAAGAAGGTTGAATTCAAGGTCAACGGAGTCAAACAACCCTATTCCATGAAACTCGGCGAGGAGGGAGAGGCCTTCTTCGTCTTCGAGACGAGCGACACTATTCCGAGGGATCTGCAGACTTCGCCCTTGGTCTCCCCAGCGTCAAGCCCTCCCTTGAACCCGGAGAACCCCTCGTCACCTGGACTCGGGGAGCCAGAGCTGTTGGACCTGGATTCTGAGGCTTCCAAGCCTCGACGACCGCCTCCATCTGTCCTTCACGCAGCAACATTCGGACCCGGATCCCATGGTTTGTTCCTCATTTACCCTACCCTTATTGATCTTCCACAAGGCAGCAAATGCTAACTGTTGTAGGGCTGAACACGCCTCTGTCCACGTCCCCCGACCTTTCATCCCACGCACGACTGAGATCGGAAGACTGGGATTCCTCAGCCGCCCAGCGGCCTTACAGCGACGATGTCTTGCGCAAATCAGCTCGAACGAGCGACCGGGTATTCGGCGAAGGCCTTACCGATTTTGCCATGTCCGAACGATCACAAAGCCCTCCTCCATTGGCACCTAAGGAAGCGCTCGAACGGGCTCTCATGCTATCCAAGGAGCTGTCAGCCAACAACATCCCCAGCCATGTGAACGAGAGCGGCGACCTCATGCTTGATATGACTGGTTTCAAGAGCAACGAGGAAGATATCTTCCGTGCCGAGATTCTTGCGCGAAAGATTCTCTCCGAGGAGCTCGAGGGCCCGTATGACATTGGTTCACTTTTCGGTATGGATGAGCATGGAAATATCTGGATCTACAGCAGCGAGGAGGCCAAAGAGGCTGCGAAGAAGAAGACCATGGAAGCTGGCTACCGCCTTCATTCCGTGATTGCGGCGGATGCTGCGTCCGACCCGGGGTACCAGAGCGACGGTAGCGATGTTACCACCACCGTGCCCCCTCCGAACCACCGCAGGACCGAGTCAGACGCCGGTGCTTCTGGCCTGCACACTCCTCCTACAACGCCTCCTCATTCGACGGCTGGAGACCCGAATCTGAATTACGCAAAGACGCTGCGGTTGACTAGTGATCAGCTGAAAGACCTGTGTCTGAAGCCTGGAGAGAACACCATGAGCTTCACCGTCAACAGGGCAACGTGCCAGGCCAACATGTACCTGTGGAGGCATGAGACGCCCGTTGTCATCTCAGACATTGACGGCACGATTACCAAGTCGGATGCCCTAGGCCACGTTCTCAACATGATTGGCCGTGACTGGACGCACGCCGGAGTCGCGAAACTCTATAGTGACATTGTCGCAAACGGGTACAACATCATGTACCTGACCAGTCGATCAGTGGGTCAATCCGATACCACCAGGGCTTATCTCGCCGGTATCCAGCAGGGAGAATACCGAGTGCCGCGGGGGCCTACCATCTTGTCCCCGGATCGGACCATGGCCGCACTCCGCCGTGAGGTCTACCTTAGGAAACCCGAGGTTTTCAAGATGGCCACACTTCGGGATATCCGAAATTTGTACGGCCCTGATCGGACACCATTCTTTGCTGGATTTGGAAACCGTCTCACGGACCAGATTTCGTACAGGACAGTGGATGTTCCTAAAAAACGTATATTTACCATCAACTCCAATGCTGAGGTTTCCCTCGACTTGCTCACGTTGAACAAACTCAAGCTGAGTTATATCAACATCAATGAGGTTGTAGATCACTTCTTCCCGCCCGTCAGTACTTTGGTCAAGGGTGGCGGAGAAGAGTACACTGATTTCTCATACTGGAGAGATACCCCGTTGGATTTGGATGAATTCTCTGCGAGCGACACAGATGACGATAATGAGCAAGCTGATCTGGAAGAAGATGTTGATGATGACGAGGAGATTGGTGATGAGATGGGACAGAGCTACATTTCCCGAGACTCGGTCGACGATTACGGTGACGAACGCGAAAGCATCCTCAGTGGAAGCATCGACGGCGATGACCAGCTGGCCGCCTCCATCATGGAGGATGACGACGCCGATGACGAAGACGCCGAAGAGGAGGACGACGAAGAAGACGAAGTGGCTGAGCTCGAAGTGCGGAAACAACGCGAGCGAACTCCTCAGCCCAGCGGCAAGGAAACCAAGTCTTCCACGCCGGCACAGACGATGCTTGTGGAAGATATTGGCGCCGAGTTGATCACTGGGGTAAATCATCTCACCCTTGAAAAAGGTGTGCAGAAATAGTGTGCTAAAAAGGAGGAACAGGCTTCGGTTTACAATCCTAATGTTAAAGCAGGTGCGAACTAATATCTCCGTGTCGATGCGCTTCTTCTTGTACCCGGGAGTTTCTAGACGGCGGCTTGGTGATTACGAGCATGGTTGGCTGGCTTTGGATTTCGATTTAAGGGAGGGAAGTGATGCGTTAGCATAGCGAAAGGCGTTTGGACTTTGGTACTTTATTTAAATGGTGAGCCTTGAAAAGGGACACACCATCACTCAACTCTGTTACGATTCTGGTTCATGACAGTCGTGACATGCTTATTGGATACTGGCGATTTTCTTGATTCAACTCTATCGCAGACGAAGTATGCATCGAATTTTGGCCCGCCTTACTGATGATATGGGCGGGGTCATTCTATTGAGCTCACTTCCAGAATGATATGGATTTGAAACCTCAAAAGAGCTTTCCAGGTTGATGAGCTCCGTGACCATCTCTTCTCCGAACCTTGGCTAAAAGTAATGTGCAATTGCCCGCCTAATCGACCACATGCCCCTATACCCCAAAGTGCGGGCCCACGGCTACCCGAACTTCAAATCCCAATGCTCTGTTCCATAGTAAGCCCCTAGACCAGGGCATTTTTTGGTCGCCGTCAACGGCCAATGTTCCTCATTCATCCTGCCATTGAGGTATCTGTCCGATCGTGGACCCCGAGTGCTCCGATTTCACCGAGTGGCCCGAGCCCTAAGAAGTGCCCTCCATCTCTGCATCCTCGTCCACGTCCTTGCCAAACACATCCTCCATCGTGCCGCCCTCGACGCCATCACCGCCGATATCCTCATCCGCCGTCGCCTCGACGCCCTCCATCGCCCCCTCACCGCCGCCGCCGGGCCCAGCAGCAGCAGCACCATCCTCGCCGTCTTCGTCTTCGTCCTCGTCCATACCCGCTTCCTCCCACGCTTCCTTGAGACCCCAGCTGACGCCGCTGAGAACAAAACGCTCGCTGGGCAACCTAAGCCCCCACTCGTTCTGCGCGACCTTGGGCAGCGCCGTCTTGTTGCGCTCGCGCGCGAGCTCCTGCAGCCAGTCCTTGCTGACGCCGCCGGCGCCGCCGCCCCCGCGGAACTGGTAGCCGAGTCTAGCGGCGATGGCGAGTTTGACGGCGTTGGCCGAGACGGCGGCGTCGCCCACCGCGCCGGGGATCGAGCCCGCGCCGCCACCGCCGCCGCCCGAGGCCTTGCTGCCGGCTTGGGAGGTGTAGGGGTCCGCTGAGAGGTAGATTGCGTCGGAGAGGATGCTCGAGGTGTGGCGGTAGGCGAAGTCGAGGAGGAGGAGGGGCACGCGGGACTCGTACGAGGTTACGCCCTGGGAGGTGAGGAGCAGCTCTATCATGCGAGAGTCGCGGGGTCGCGGGGCCGAGGCGTTGGGGGCTAGGGGTGTTGATTGTTGTTGCTGTCCTGGCTTCTGCTGGGCATTTTGTTGTGACGGCTGTGAGGTTTGTTGGGTGGATGAGGACTGGGTCGGTTGGGTTTGGGATGGGGGTTGGGAGCCGCCTGCTGCTGATGTCGTTGCTGTTGCTTGGGTGTTTGGTGCGGTTTGTGAGGCTGAGGCGCCCGAGGAGGCGGGAACGCCGTTGGTTTGCGGGTCGGCGGATTGTGAGGCCATGATCGCGGTGTCGTGTTCGTGGCTCGTATAGTGTTATCTTGCTATGAAGTGCGTTGTGCGGTCTGATGGGAGACTGGCATCCCCCCTTTGCGACACCGTTCGAGGATTGTCGACAGTCCACGCGACTAAATAGTGGCTGCCGGTGGTGTGCAGATGGATGGACGGGTGATGTTGAGAAATCACCCACAAGTTAATGTAGCTCGTCAAATTGTGTGTAAGGGTTCACGATGGGTAAAGTCGAATGTGAAGGCGGCGCCGGAAAGTCGGGGGTATCAAGGTGAGGAAGTTAGTTGGCTGGTTGGGTCGCGGAAAGAGCTACCCGCCTGTCGCGTCGACGACTGAGGACCTGAACTGTCTGCACCTCACGGCGGACTCACAGGGCAGCTCCGAATCCTTACCGGCCTTTCTGTTGATCCGCTCCAGCGCTGATAATTCGGACGCACTGACCATAGCTTAATTCCACATGGACCGGGGTGTCTGACGGGCAAATCGGCAGGGCGTGGATTGGATGACCTCCAAAAACTTGCATGGAGGGGCAATGGAACTCCCGAGTCTGCTGCGTGGTAATTCTTCTGCCCCACCACCACACCCGCCGATGCAGGACATGGTTAGAGTGGTGGTGTCACACTCTGAGGATTTTTTTACTTTTTAGTGGCGGTTCCCTTTCCCTTGGATGAATTGAGTCACAGTGGGTTGTCTACCGTATCTCGATAAACAAGTGACATTCCACTTTCCTCAATTGAACCTCTTGGTAACTTCCTTACCTATAGTTGCCTCGTTTTTTTCCAACACACCCCATTGGGCTCTTTTGACTTTCATGCGAGTGAGAGAAGAGAGAGATAGAGAGCATACAAGATTACCCCTCCCCCTCACAAACGTTCATAACCCAAGAACACACACGCACACACAATAAGAACGGCCATGGAGACAACACTACCCTTCCCTTTCCTTATCAGCGTGGCCGTCCCGCCCGGCCTGACCAAGTTAGATGGCCTCGACCGCGAGCAGGTCTCGATCCTCGGAGCCCCCTTCTTCGAGGCCAACGACCAGACCCTGGACAAGTTTCACAGCTTTCTGAAGCAGCACAACGCAGAGTTCCGCGGTTACTTTGACGTCACCGGCATCTCAGCAAAGGACGATGTCGTCTCCCTTCTCGATGCCGGCGCCCGCATGGTCTTCGTCTCCCCCGAGAACCTCGCCCAGTAT